AACAAATGCTATAATGAGATCATGGATTTAAAATCCTTTTTTTTTAAATATCAAAATAGTAATTTCAATTTTATATTAAATCCTAAAAGAATCACTACTGCTTGTGTTTTTCTTTTTCTCTCAAGCATTGGTTTCATTGGCAATAGCCATTTGGATTATATAACTTGACCTTTAATATTTTTTAATACTAAATTTCACCTGATACAAGGTTCGAGAGTCACTCAAGTCAGTGGATTATTAAATGAGGTTTGTGAGGCAATGGCAAGAAGTGAAGCTTATGAGGAACTGACCCCCCGAAATTAAACTTCTCGGACACTACAGTTTAACCTCTTCAAATCTAGGGTTAACGGTTATCTTTCTTCCATATCTCCATAAACTGCACTTCTTACCTCTTTCCCCTTACACTTAAATAAAACATCCACATTCAGTAATCTTCTACCTTGAGTGGCTCTTGAGCCTTGTATTGGGTTAAAAATTAGTAAAAATGAAAAGATAAATTTTCTTAGTTTTTGAATTTGTCTCTTTAAAGATTACAGATTTTTTATTTATACGTCATTAATATTTTATGAACCTGTGAGACCAAAAATGTTCAACCTGGAGAAAAAAAATAGATATGAAATGAGGAGGTGATAACTTACCATGATATTTTTCTGTGTATTGCTTAATGAACCAAAATAGAACTAAAAATTCTTGTATCTTATTCATAATGGCTGATAATATCTGAGTATGCCTGTCCACTACTTTGGATAGCCAATCCTTGTTGCATGATCCGGACCGTATTTTATGTTGCTTGGAGTTTCTACCTATTGCAAAGGAGCACTATTGACATATGCAGTGATATGGATATTTTTGAATAGAAAAAAAAAATGTAAGGATATGGATAATCTTGAGTGTATGATTTTATTCTTATCTATTTTTCTTGTTTTGTTGAGAGATTGGCAAAATTGTTCAGGATGGTAAGGAAAAAGATGAAAATTATAAACATTTCCTGTGATCATGATTTGAGAAGACATACAGCAATATGCTAAAGATCAGACAAGAAATGTAAAATAAAGTCTATTATAAATGCCACAAACACTTAGGAATTTAATATCTATTAATGTGATACTTACCTGTTAAACAGAAATTATTTCTATTTAATGAAAATTTAATAGAATCTAATAAGTGGAATTATACTAAATACAACTAAATTGAAAACCTCTTCCCCATGGCTATATTGGCAATTCTGAAAATTTTGGAGTGTGAATTTTACATGAGTAGAAGCATTTTTTTTTATCAAATTTTATTCTGAAAATCACCTTCATAAATTACACAGGTGTGTAAATTACATGGATTTTAACAGTAAAACTTAAACATATGAAACTTTTTCTTGAGTATTGATGAGAAAAATATTAAACACTATTTTATTAGATTGTTTATTTACAGGAATAATTTTATATCTACAAGCTTATAAAAATATATGAACCAATGACAATGCAATATTTATTATTTACCATATTATTAAAAAATAACTATGAAAACAATTTTTTTTATTCATAAATTCATAAAAATGTCGGAACAATATCTCAGATAATTTATTGTTTTAATTTTCCAAGTGTTTGAACTATTAGGTTATTACATATATTTATTTGTTTTTTTCTGTGAATGATCTCAAAGAATAATCTTTCATCACATTCTTTGTTTCCCAGTAACTCTGGTCATCCTGTGAATTGGTCTTCTAATGTTATTGAAATCTAATTTCTGATTAACCTTGCCCCACTCCTTTGAGATGGAATGCCAAGTAGACAACAATGAGCCTGTTCAACATCATCTTCCTTTTTTTTTTATTTTAATCAAGGTCACAAACCTAACAAACTTATTTGAGACATTTGTGTTGTGTATGGAGATGACTTCACTACGGACAGAATGGCAGAAATGGTTTCCCCATTTCAAGCAGGTCAAATTTGAACTCAGATCCTCTGTGTTCTAGCTGAACTGTTCAGTGTGATGACAACCAATTACTTGTGTCAGACCCCTAGAGAATTCACTCAGAAGATGGCAAGCTCTCACAGTACTGTTGCTTGTCATATTCACTCAATGTGTAAGGTCCAAAAAGACAGCACATGGATGCCACACTCATTGACCGACAGAAAAATAAACTACAGTGCTCCTTCATTGCTTCCAGTTTATGTGCTTGACACCAGGTTACTTGTGGATACAAGAAAGAGATTGGTTGAGAAATTCTGCCACACCCAACATACTCCTGATTTAGCCCCCTTCAGAATATCAACTTTTTTGCTTATTTTCTAACAATTTGAGGGGTGTTTTATTCAACAACGATATGGAACTTAAAATATGGCTTGATGAATTTTTTGTGTCAAAACCTCGAGGCATTGAACAGTTAGTGCGTCATTGGCAGGAGGGTGTAAAAAATGAAACAGAATACATTGGGGAATGATTCATCAGAACTATTAATAATTAATAAACATTAAAATAATTTATAAAAGCGAACAGAACCTAATATTATTCTAAGTTCATTGGGAAATTTACAAAATTCCAAATTGAATTCTTGTAAAATCAAAACAATAAGTAAATAAAAAAAACAACTTTTAGAATATTTTTTGTATAACTGTGATCAATAGAAATCTTACGTCTGAAACTCCACCAATTATAGGTTAATTCCCTTTCTTAAATATATTCTAGATTCATTACACATCCATTTTTCTGTTTTAATTTTTTTTTTATTATAGCTTACAATTTTATAAAATAAAAAATCCACAATTTGAAAATATTAAATATTAGAATATTTCATGAGATCAATAAACAAAAGGAATCTATGATACACAGAAATGCTAATGATTTTCAAAAAAATAATTTTGAAAAAAAATATTTACATTGTTGTTAATTTTCCACAATGTATAATTTACTTAAAAATGTATAAATCCACTTTCATATATTTTGGTTTTATTAAAATTCCATTGTGATTGGTGATAGTTATTCTTTGATTAGAAATATTTACAATAATTTATTTGGTGCAAAGAGATTTTATTATGCAACTAAAGTAATGTTCCTCATACTTTTTATGATACCAACGAATACTTGTCGTCACTTTCATAATGCTTGTTGTAGTAGAGACTTTGTAATCACAGATACAACTATAGTAATGCTGTTGAACAATACTGGTGTCAGACCCCTTCGAATTACCTTCACACTAATAGTACTTGCTCGATAATACTCACTCGAAAAGTAACCACTGAATAATAATCTGAATAGTAATCCGTATATTGATCACTTAGATGTCACACTAATTCCCACATATACATTTCCTTTACCATCATGTGATCTACTTATTTAAAATGGGATTGCCTATGTTTGCTCTCTGGTGATCTGTGTTCAAACTCCAGTGTCGACAGCAACACTTTATTCCTATATAACAATACTGAATAGGGCACCTCAGTGTGGTGTAATAGTTAGCAAGCTTGTCTTGCTAGATCAATTACAACTGAAAAGCGAGTTCAATCCTCACTAGGTGCCCCATACTTTCGGCCTTGTGCCACATCTAAGCTACATTTAGAAAATAACTATAACAATACTGAATATATATATTTGAAGATTAAAGTTTACTGGAAAGCATGGAGCTGGAAGAGAGTTCCACTAGTGAGAAGACAAACTGTTAGCATAGAACTTACATCTAACCAACTCAACTGTAAATTGGTGAGATTTCATCACCAGTCTAGTACTGCGCTTAAATTAATAAAGTCTAGGTACCATAGCAAAGAACTCATTTGAACAATTACCATGAAAGTATTTATAATATGAAATTATTCTGACTAGCATTCTTACTGTTGGTATTTCATACAGATGATGAGCTCTCTAAAATGTGTTGCTGATATTTTCATTCACATACACACCAGTAATTGACCCCCTCCGTAAATTTATATATAATATATACAACAATAACAACAAAAATCCCAATCAAGAAAAATTGACAAAATTAATGCTTAGAGTAATTAGGGTGTCTAATTAGTGAGTCGATAAAGATTAAAGAAAAAAAATCTGAAGATGGCCAGATGTCATGTGCTCTTGGAGAAAACATGAAATCCAACCAAATGAAAGAGTGACAAAACAATAAAAATAGGGATATTAATCCAGAGCATTCCTTAGATAATACTTCACTTAACTTATAAACAGATGAGATTATGCACATTTGAGAATCTAATGATATATATTGACAACCACAAGTCCAAAGACCCACTAAGCTGTGTACACAGAGTCAGCTCATCCTCATTCTCTTCATATTCCATTGGTAAGGAAGAAGTTCCACTCAGGCAGCCTCTCCTTCAGAACTGTAGCAATGTAGAATGAGATCCTGAGCAGATGCTTTGCTGATCACTATAATCTTAACCACTTCAAGTAAAGAGTCAACCGTTTAACTATCTGATATATCCTCATAACATGCAATGTTTGCTCCTTCTCTATACGCTCTTACAACATGCCCATTTGGTGCTCCTCTATCTTGAGTGGCACTTAGGGCTTTTATTGGTAGAATAATAATAATATAGATCTCTAAAGGATTAATGGATTTTATTTTTTAATCTGTCATTTATATTCCTTTACATGTTATTTTTAATAGATTCCTATATTTGAGTAGGTGATTTGTTTATTTTATTTGCCCTGAATACCTGAGAAAACTTATTAAAGAAAATGTGCAACTCCACCAGCAGACATTTTCTTTGATAAGTCAATGAATGCCAACTGTTTCCTTGTAAGGAAACGGTTAATATTACCATTATCATGGTCATATTTCTACACTGTGCTATATAGCAGTATATATTTTTTAACTGAGTGGTAACAGAGATATAGTTGTATTATAGTTTATGAGAACAAAGTTCATCAAAGCAATTCAAGTAAAAGTGACATATCCAAAGCTACACAGTTTCTAGCAATTCAAAGACAATGACAGGATAAACATTAACCTTTGAACCCAGTGACATAAAAAAAGAAGACTGTTTTCAACTTACCGTACTGGATCATCTGGGTGAAGGCCTCCAATGTCTTCATAAGCATAGAACATCACTGAAAAAAGACAAAAAAAAAAAACATAGGTTTCATTTTTTTGGATTTTCTTTCCTACAGAGGATAAAGCACCCCCCCCAAAAAAAAAGAAAAAAAAGAAAAGTAGTGTCATACCTTCCCCAAGATCATTAGTTTTAAATGAAGTGAAAACTGCCCCAGGTAGAGCTTAGTTTGCTGGTTTCATTCTCTCTACCATTAACCATTCAGTCACTGGTAGCTCCACTAGTTATATGTATTATTTTTAAAGATTTATATTTTATAAAGTAACTCTAAAAGAAGAAATACACTTATACTGTCACTGATATGCTGGGAGAGGAGACCAAATTTGAGAGCAGTTATTGCCCTTGAAGTAGTTCATCCTGGATGATCAATAATAGGCCCAAACAACTTGTTGCATATTATTTGTAAAGATGAGAATTGCCTAGAGAGATGTCATAGAAGGGAATTTATTGGCAATACACTCCAATAAACAAATAAATTATGGATAACATCCATTATAATAATTTTTTTTTTAATCATATGACCCCATGCAAGGTAGTAAAGCCACCATGACACACAGGGGTTACTGAGTGTGAAAGAATAAGAAAAAGAAAAACATTATAAAGTAGAGAGAAAAATAAAAGAAGAGGAATCATGAAGACAGTAGTTTTAGTTTTGTAAAAGGTATACAACATTTAATTTCTATACAATTCTTTGAAATCCAGAAAGTATATATATATATATATGAAGAAATATAGTCTTAAGGTGTGCTATATTTATGGGATAAAGTGCTCGATATCAGAGATAGAGCGTGTGTAAATATAAAAGTGAACATAGAAGTCAACACTTAGAGGCGACAGTCTGTTTCATGCTATATGCAATCGTCAGGCCACTGACGATTGCATATAGCATGAAACAGACAACAGACAGGCCTGACGATTGCATATAGCATGAAACAGACAACAGACAGGCCTGACGATTGCATATAACATGAAACAGACTGTCGCCTCTAAGTGTTGATTTCTATGTTCACTTTTATATTTATATATATATATGTGTGTGTGTTATTGTTAATTTACCTTTTCATTCACAAAAATAAGCAAAACAATAATTGTTACATCATTAAGTCAGGTGGGATAGTTTTGTTATCTTCTTAATTAAATTTTAGTCATTATATCACCTTATGTTCTGCTACTGATTGTAGTCCTCCTAGTATACAATACTTAATGTATAAAATAATTTTATCCATATACAACTGGGATTTCCAGTGGAAAAGGTTGACTTATTGGAGTCAATCATTCAACAGAGGACAATATGATGTCATTAACAGTCAACGATATAACAGGAGACAATGCCAACCAATGATATAACAGGAGACAATGAGAAACATTGAAGTTTCTGCCTGGTTGTCATTCAACAGTATTCAGTATGACATTTTCTATTCATGTTCAACAAGACAACAAATTGTTTTACAAATCCATAAAAGAAAACTTTATATTGAAAAAAGAAAAAATAATAGATTTACAGATTTTAAAGCATGATATTTAAAAGTAAATGCCTTCAGTGGGGTCACTGAGAGTTGATTCTTATGAGAAAGTCACTGTTATTTTCCTATGAATCTATACAGATTACTGTACTATCTACATTATCTTTTGCCTTTAATCTATTTGACCCTGAAGTCTGAACTCTATCTGTCCAATAGGTTAATCAAAGATATAGCGATTTTTTTGCTATTTGTAAGATTTGGGACTCCATCATTATAATAGTGATTTTCTTTAAAGCAACGATTAAATTAATCTTATTTTCACAATCATGAGACCTGTAACCTATTAGGGCCACCACATGTAGTACAGCTGTAGCAGCAGTGGTGTGTCTTGGGCAAGACATCCTGATGGGAGCCAACCCTCTCTAGGCTGGCTTTGAATTCAGAGTTTTTCCTTCTCCTAGACTAGTTACAACCCAAGGCAAAAGGATCCAAATTGTCCTGCTATTTACCCACAGTTGTGGGGAGAAGAGATGGATTCATACCCTTTCCCAAGGGTATTAGCATATAAGTGAATGTAATGAACTTGACTAGATTTCAAACTTGGCTCTCCAATTCCTCAATCAATTACTCCACCATGCTGCCAACTGATTCTTTTAGGGTGCTCAATTAGTAAGGTCTCATGCAAGACTAGGCTAAGCATCTGTCTTGTACTGGTAGTTGCTCTGATTGACGTGCGGAACTGTATTTTCCAGGTCTTCAGGATTAGAAATTCTTCCTTTTAAATTTCAAAAGTTTGCCTTCAATGCTGAGAAACACTTTCAGACAAATCTCACTCGTGACTGAAATTATTTCTTTCAAATTTATTAATCAAAGAAATAGCGATCTATTTGTATTTTTATGTCTGGACTCAATTTTTTCCACTCTTCATAACATAACTTCCCTCTGCCTTTTCTATAAATACTTTTATGGTAATTATTTTGATGAATTCTCCTCTATGGTACCTAGACTTTATGAATTTAAGTGAAGAACATGATTGGCAGTTAGGTCTCATCATTTTACAGTTGAAATTGCTAGATGTAACTGTAAGTTCTTTGCTAACAGTTTCTTTTCTCACCTGTGGAACTCTCATCTGGTTTCTTGTTTTCCAGTCAACTTTGATCTTTAAAAATTTAAATGCAATGTCAATCGTTATTTACTGTCTTCTTGATTCCTCTTTTATTATTCTTGCTCCTTAATAATGTTTTTTCTTTTTCTTATTCTTTCACACTCAGTAACACTTTATGTCTTAGTGGTTTTATTGCCTTGCTTGGGGTGAAATGATTAAACAAAAATATTGATAATAACTTGGGGGTGGGGTAGATGTCAGGTTTTTATTCTGCAGACAAACCAAATGCAACACAAATAGTATTAAATAAATCTAAAAGTTATAGGCTATTGAAAAATATATTTGATTAGCATAATTTTAGATATACTTAAAAAAATTTATAATTTATAAATTTTATAATTTGACATGTTAATATTGGCTCCTTCACATTCTATAACCATCATTACTGATTTTGTTAATGTTTCTACTATTTCAATTTTAACATTACTAATAACAATTCTTGTTACTTTGCAGACATCTTCTTTGCTTGAGTATTTCTTTGCTGTAACCTGAAGAAGGTTACTGAATAGAATAATCAAATGACGGTTGGTAATGGACGATAATACTTAGGACAAGAACAACACATAAGATTTGCCAGTGGCACATAGAAATAGTAGTCAACTGTTACAAGTGGCTCAAGTGAATTCCACAATGAATCTCCGACTGCAGACACACATACAGTATTTACTACTGTATTTATGTGAATGGGGACATACCCATTATTGTCTGTAGGTATGCTACAATATTCTTTCTATTCTAATATACATCTCTTTTAATGATGGGCTACAAGTTTTCTATTGAATTAATGTGGAGAGTCTGGAAGTCATTCTATTAATTGAGTGTCCTTTTTTAGCAAAGTGGACAATAGTCATCTTTGAAGACTGCGAAAGAACCATTGTCTTACATATACATATACTCTTTAACTTAAATCTTCTTTATGACTTATACCACTCAAAAATATTGTCTTGTCCAAGAATTTATCTCTACTTTTATCTTGAAACTATCAGTGACTTTTGAAGGGCCTCCTATAATTTTATTACTTACTATGCTATTCCAAAACATTCTGACTCCAGCTTTTTGTCTTTTAAGCTTGGTTGACTATTTCCATGAAGAACTCAACTATCAGCTCAAGCATCATATCTCTTCAGTGTACCTCTTTATTTATTATTGTTGAAAAATCATTTTTAATGTACTTATCTATCCAGTTTATTTATTTTTCTTTGTGACATTTACTTAAATGCAATTGATTTCATTATTTTAGTCAATATTCTTAATATTCTGAATCTTTTCTGTTTACATGTGCAACACCAAATTGCAATAATTTTCTGAATTTTTATCCTTTTATTCTTTTCTCAAATCAAATTTTTCTTTATTGCTTCTATTTTGCTAATGTTCACAATTTCTTTTTTTTTCTTTTCTCTAACATTGAGTACCATTCACTGAATAACTTTACAATATCATGTTTCTCTTTTGACCCATGGCAATATTTACATGCCTGCCCCCATCACTCAATAAATTTATAATATATTCTTTCTTGTTTGAGCTTATATCTTTCTTATGACCCATGGCAGTCTTTATATGTCTGAAATTTAAACAATATCAATAACTATACTATTAAATATATTCATTTATAATATGATGGAGAATTCTTGAGTTGCATAAAATCTCATACTACCAAATATCTTTGTGCAAATATTTCTAATTAAAACATATTTGAAACTGAAATTTGCATGGTATATTTATCATATAAATATATTTTGACAATTTTACCTGCATAAGTTGATACCAATTTTATTAAAAAAAAACATTAATTTGAATGATAAATCTTGATATAATGTCATAATTCATGGTGGGATCAATTTATTACTTAATAACAATAGAAAACCGATCCCCCACATTATGTCCACTAGAAACTTCTATTAATATTTCATGTAAATATATCTTAATGTTTTTTTTCCAAACTAATTTTATTGTGAAAATTTTGACTTGCATAATAAAATCTGACAGAACAGAGTAATTCTAGTGTGGATCAGTTTATTAATAGATGACAACAGAAAACCAATCCCTCTGTTTATGTCTACTGTAAGCGTTGTAGCAGACCAACAGATGATAATGGGTATGTTCCCATTCACATAAGTACAGTAGTAAATACTGTATGTTAGTTTGCAGTTGGAGATTAATTGTGGAATTCACCTGTCTCATTTCTAGCAGTTGACTACTACTTCTACACACAACTGGTGAATCTTATATGTGTTGTTCTTGTCCTAAGTATTATCATTCATTACTAACCTTTGTGTGATTATTCTATTCAGTAACCTTCCCTTGGTTACAACAGTAAGGTATATTAATCCTTGAGGGATCAGTTTATTACATAAAAATGATAGAAAACAA